TGCCTTTAAATGATCTAAAAAAATGTCCGCGTTAGTCTATCTGTTAAAATTACCTTGCAAGAAGAGGGGTAGCGGACGACGTTGTAGGTAACTTAATTTTTTAAATTTGTACAGGAGGTTTGGAAAAACAAATTTTAATGCGCAATATAACTATTCTACGCGGACGAAGTCGCTGACACATCTAGTACTGAATGATTGTAAATATATTTTGATTTATTATGCTATACATAATAAATCAAATCAATTCGATTTTAAAACATTATGTAATGAAAATAATAATAACAACATTTTATTTCACAAACAAAAAGAAATACAAGGCATTCATAATAACTAATTGAAATATGAATGAAATGAAAAATGATACATTGGGTAATACTATAAGTAAGTATAAAATCATTTGTGACGAGTCGTGAAATGTGAATGACTAGAAATTAGCAGAGATAAGGAAAAGTACAATTGTCTATTCATGCAAGAAAATCATTCACGATTATTACTATTCATCGCTCCCAATTTGTTTCTAATATTTATTTTTTTCTGAAACATGTTGGACGTAGTTTGAAAATCTGGATCCAAGTAAGTGGTAAGAATGTCGAAATGTGTTCAGTTACAAACAAACTGATGAAAAAGCCGTCAAGTTTAATCGGGTTTTTGGTTTCATTCCGAATATCCAAAACCAAAAAGGGTCCACATCGCATCTAGAATTATTACACAGAAGTCACCACCCCATACTAATCGTCCAACTTTGAGACGCATTCTTTTTACTTATTCATCAAATAAACTGTTCAGTATTAGATTGTGATCTAGTCGGAAATACTGATTTTGCATTCCTACTTTAGGGAAAATACACGACCGTACCAAATGATCTCAAGTTTTACGTTACGTTTCTCTTCTATTCCATCAACGTCTTTAGATATTTATCAGTCAGTTTAAGACTTCTAAAAATAGAATTTAGATGAAGTTCTTGCATTGAAAAATGACTGGAAAGTTTTTATCTTTTACGATGCAACTCGCTTATTCGTTGATGTCTTTTGTATTCAATTGGTCGCAACTAAATAATTCTAAGAAACGCTTTTCGAACAGCGCCCATAATAGCTTCTTTCTCGAAATTTCGATAATCCATTGTTAGGAAATCGAGTCTGTTTGGCTCTTTCTTACGGAGACCACCCGATGTTTTTTTTACTTCTAAAGCATTCGATTTCGGAACTGTATTTGAAAATATTGGTTTTGTACATTTATCACTTATTCGTCTAAATATTATAGGCTTTTCTTTCCTTTTCAAGTTAAATCACTTGAAAAAAAAACACCTTATAAGCCTCATTATAGAAATGTGTAGGCCTGCTCAGATATATCTAAAAAGCATTAGGTGTGTACACAATGCGTTCTTGATGGCACGTAAGACTTATGCACGTAGCGGGTCAGCGTTCTTGTGGCTTTGAATAGAATAATGTAGCGGCGACCGAGAGCCAGAGCGACAAGCTGCAGCGGGTATACAAGGAACGAGGTGAGACGATAGCAGGGACGGCTCTCTGTGTGCGTTCGAATCGTGCGCATAGGTTATAAGCAATGTAGACGCCACGGGCGTGTGTGCGGCCAGTGGAAATTTCCATGGATGTCTTAAATTTGAGTTCAAGCCGCGTCGTATTCCGCGATCGCCGCCCGCGTCGCCCGCTATACAATTCTCAATATTATCTCGAAGGTCGAGTTTTGGCGCCGCGCTTGAAATCCTTACTGAACGCTAATGAAACCTAAGTCGCCATCGTAGTTTTTTCATCGCCACCGAGAGGGACGGCAACACTATGAAGTTTAGAGTTGTTATCACATTTAACGGCGGAACACGTCACTAGCGCACTTTACTTTTTGTCCCGTATCTTGTGAATACTTTAGGGCTAATTGGAAATATCGTATTCGTCTTAGCGAGAAAAGTATCTAGTAAAAAGTCAAGCGTTATATGTAACATAGATTGTAATGTAATGAATTGTTGCTTGTTATATTTGAATAGGTAATTTAATTTATTTTCAGGAAAGGTCACGATGGCACAATGGTATTGTTACGTGTATTGCAAATACCTAACAAGGAAACTGAACTAGTAAAATGAATAGAACGTTGATATGTTTTTAGTTAAACATTTTATCTTGAAATGTTGAAAAAATTAACTTAGCAAGAGATAACCTAACAGAGCAGAATTTGATGTTTATTGTTTCTGCAGTTTATGTAAAGTGATCATCTGGCTTTTAATCGGTTTATAATAAAAACAAGGATGATTAAACTGACTCTAAATTACGCGAGTAGTACACATTTAAATAAAAAACTTTAACGGTTTAAAACGCGATGTATTAGTTAAACTTATTTGAAAATAATTTTTAACTTCGTTAAAAGTCTTCCCGTGACCACGGCTGCTGCAAAGCATCTGAAACGTCAGGCCGAAGTTAAAAATTTATTTCAAATATGTTTAACTAATATATTGCTTTTTTAAACCGTTAAAGTGTTTTATTTAGACAAGGATGATTAATAATCTTAACCTTACCTAAAAACAAAATTTAGATACCTACTACAAAAACTTAAAAAGTATCTAAGAAAAAACTTAACGCATCTATCTAAATTGCATGCTAGCAATATTTTCATTAACTATGACTGAAGTGGTTTTCTTATCTTTAAATAACGCTACTCCGATGGATTTCCTTTTAGCAAGGGAAACTACCTACGTTTAGTATCGTGGAAATTTTATTCAGAATTAATTAATTCGCGGAATTTTAAGTGTCCACACGGCGCATTACTCTTGGAAAAATTTAAAACTGTTTCAGTTAGTGACGACTGAATAGGACCGCTAGCTTTAGTGGTCTTACACGTGTTATTCTACTATGCCAAAGCGGTCATTCCATTTTTTAATGCATATATTTAATTTTCCGTGTGTGTAATATAGTTGAATATTAATTTAGAACAAATATCACCATGTGATTGAGTTATTTTTTTATTTTGTACACGCGCTCTATAATTGTACAATTGAGCGTGCGACTTCATTTTAAATCCAACATGGCGGTACAACCAAAATGGCGGCTGTCGTACGGACGTTTTCGTTAAAAAAAATTTACGACAATAAAATTATAGTTTTACTTTATAGTATAAATACCTACAGATACAAAGATAGTTAATTTATGTAATATATTAAAAGTCTTAAAATTTCTTCTATGTTTGATTAAAGAAAATCATATACAAAGATAATATTAACTTTTAACTAACATACTAATAGTACTATTACTTAGTGTATACTAAGAGACGAATTACTTCTTTACACGTGGTTTATGCATCTGGCAGTGACATTGTTATTATTGTTAGGTCATATACATCCTAAATAAGCAACATGTGGAAAAAGTCATAAATATAATAATAATTTAGTAGACGATTACGTAAAGAGGCGTTTCATATTAAAAGGAAGCGCAATAAATAGATCGTAACAATATAGCATAACCTAATCTAACCCTAAGATCCTAAAAATTGTTGCGCAAAACTAATCACTAATTCAATAACATAAGAGTGAAAACTCTCTGTTACTGTCTAATGAATTGATTTGGTAATGCATTGCGTGGAAAGTATTAAACAAAAGAGAAATCAAAATGCAGTATGCTTTAGTTGGCTTTAATACAGCTTTGATATTACTGTGAATGATCTTTCAAAACATCAATCTTCGTTTCTAGCAGATTCTAGGTTCAGCGAAATTCCAGAGTTATATTATTATTTGTTCGTCCGATGAAAGAAACTGATTGTCGTTGTTCACGCTATTAACGTGTTAAATATTTATATACAGAGAATATTTCAAGTAAACCACTAAAAGACCTTTGATACCCGTCTTACTTATCAATAAAGCTTTATATTTTTATCCGGGATTTAAACCAACGCTGTTGTAAATATAACTGCGCACAGTTATAATGCTTAGGTGTTAAGCAGTTTCGGAATAAAATATTTAAAATGCCTTTAGTCATTTTATTTAAGACTAATTCTATTGTAAGAACGTTTATCTCTATCTGATCTATCTTGTTTTTCCGTGAAACTAGGATTAAGATGCACAGAAACAGTTCTTGGAAAACATTTGCAACTTTCTCTGCAATAAATCCACCTTATAAAAGAACGTAATACGCTTAAGTGCTATTTCAGGTGAGGTGAATGCGTTGACGATGTGTGTACAACCACCTGGTTATTTATCATTAAACTATTATCTATTTGAAAGTGTACATAAGCTTGGCAGGTATGATAAGTGACTAATGATCGATTCAAAAAATCCCATACGTTATTAATAAACCACTTTCAATGTAAACAAGTTAATCATTAACAAAATATTGCACGCTAGGCGACTGAAAAGTTATTTCTGTATTTTTAACTTTGGTCAACGGTCACGTGAACTGTAAGATGGATTGGATTTTAATCTCTAATAAATAAGACCTTTTTATATACATTGTTGACATTAGGAATATTATTGTATACGTTATTTATCCAAAATTGAGATTTTTAGTTTAATGACACTGACATTTCATAATTTAATATAAAGTAAAATAGTCTAAGTATATTTATTTACTATAATTTTAGAAATTTCAGCTCATCTGTAAGACACACTATTATTTAAGGTTTTATCTTATAATTACTGGTGATATTATATAAGTGACTGAAACTAATATTCGTTTTTATTAAACTACAATTAAATTCAAATCATGCTAATAGAGACGCGCTCTATATTTTGTATAGACACAAAAGTTATAGGGAGTACGAACTAAAAGACGACTATTTTTCTATGAACTACATAATAGATATTTTTAGAAATATTTTGAACTTTGGTACTTTTCACAATCGCAAAGCATTTTTATTTATATTGTTTTATTTCAGACGGTTACGCGGCAAATCGGTTATGCCTGTTTATTTTCGGATTTCAATAAGTACTTTCTCCCGGTACGTAACAAGAAATAATCGCACAGCATTTATTTAAAAAAGTCGCAATAAAAAAAAGAACTTACCTTAAACACTGCAGGCGCCAACGGTATAGCAGCTTGATTATGAAGATGCTTTTTCGACATTTTGGATACTATCCAGTAGGTACTGCTTCGAAAATATTCGCAGTCTCGCTACAAAAAAAGAACTTTAAGGAAAAACAACTGCACGTTAGAAACGCGCAACTGAAAACGGCAGCGCTATAATTGCCGACTTCTGAAGTTGTGATCAACTTTATGATCACTGTGATACAACTTATCGATCGCCGTCTTTGCGAATGATCTTATTGATGCTTCGTAAATGAATAACTTGTGGCGGTGAATTATGATGTAAAGTTTGGCGAGTGGGAAAAAGAATTGAGCTAGAGCACGTCGTATCACTCTCGCGGTAGAGTCGGCAATGAACGAACCGAGTTGAGCGCGAACCAGCGAGCCGAATGGTGTGCGGGTGGGTTTATTGTCTCGGAACCGCGGTTCGGCGCCACGGTGCCACTGTCGTGACGAAACACGCCTTACACAGACCAACTGTCCTACAGAGATAGCTGAGATTATACTTAACTCTTAATTATAATTAAAATTGGAATTACCTATATTTATTACAGAGAGGCTTACCAACTTAACACATAATCTAAAAAACAACTTAATACAATTTATGTGAGGATTATTTATATAAATTAAAGGTATGCACAACGTAGCTATAAAATAAGATTATAGGAAATAAACTTAAATGCGTAAATTTAATAACAATATTATGAAAGGCCAAAGTCATTTGACATTTCTTTAAACTTGGCTTTTAAATTTATGAAATTTGGAGAAAATTGATAATTTGATATCTCGCTTATTCTATTCGTACGTAAGTTAATCAATTTAAGCCGTCCATTTACATTGCAGTAGCTGTAACCTATAAATAAATCTTTATATAAATAAAGAGATAAACAAATAATAACTCAAAACAATTTCAAATCGGTACACTGTTTGTTTCTTTTAAAGAAGAACAATCTTTGTATTCAGTCTACTCTGTTTCACGGCCAATCTTCAGTTCCATGAATCCGGACTTTGAATCTTCGAAAACACCGCTTCGAGGCGCTATGTGTCAAATCGAATACAAATGCAGGGTATCTGAGACCTCGTTATTTTTAATGCTTAATAAAACAATTTAATAAGAGCACTATGTTAGTAAGAAACCATGAATTTTAGAGTACGAAGGATCTTCTATTGTAGTACCTTATTTTAATAAATCATAAAAGCGGTCTAGAGAGAGGTGACTCACGCCCTAAGGTTTCTTAAATATCAATAAAAAGATTTTAAAAAGATGCGTTTGTGATGTTTCTGATAAAGAGGTTTAAATACTTCTTTGGTTCTGTATTTGTTGTTAAAACATGTTCTTAATAAATCAGACGCAGTTGCAACAGATACATACAAACAACATCTCTAAAATTATTCAATGAATTATCCGAGATTTGAACATTTCTTTGTACGTATACTACAAAGAAATGTTCAATGGGGTCCAGCCACCCTTTCGTTACGGAGCTCTAAAAGGGCTGCCAAACTTGATTCACGCAGTGTCACAATTGATAATCTGACTCGAATTGGCGACCAGGGTCAGCTTAAAATAGCCCTCGTGGGATTTACAATGAATACTGAATAGTGAACTTCGTTAATTCAGGTTTTTTGACACATGAGAGTAGAGAAGCATAGTTCATTCGATAAAAGATAAAAATTACACAGCGCGTCTAATTAAATGTGCGTTTTTTTTGATATTTTAAAATCCCACGAATTCAGAATTCCCGGCTTTTCCATCTATTAACTGTATTTGATTACTGAATGATATGTCTGTTTATTAACTGTGTAAATATATATATAAGATATATAGTTTGCTAATACATATGTCGTATTTTTATTAGATACCTAATAAAATATAAATATAATACCTAGATAACAATATTTAACTTTCGAAATATTTTTAACATAATAGGTTTAATACGAGTATTAAAGTAGGTACACTATAAACTTGTGTAATTATTAGAGTCTGCTCTAAATTATTCCATTCGGCGACCCTAAATTATTTTATTGCGTATTTTGGTGATTAATTTTACGTATTATTGAATATGAATTTGGTAATTCACATAAAATGTTGTTGTTCGTAGTAGTCAGCTAGTGATAATAATAAACAGCACTGTACTCATTTGATTGGTTCAGCATTCTATTTAGTCTGTATCCCGAGATATCACAAAATTTTAGTAGTAAAAATGTTTCGGTTTGCCTACGTATTGCATAGTTCTAGTACAAGTGATCCTATAAATAACTCTACACTCTAGATAACCGTGATACATAGATATGAATAATGATGCTAACTAATTATATAATCTAATATAATCATTCTGACACTTGCTCACGATAAATAAAAACATCGTAAGGCAAACCATCGGGGACAAGCGTGTGTGAGGTTTATCGAGCCGTTACTGTACTGCATTTTTAAATTAAAGTTTAAATTTAGAACTGTTTTATTAATTTGAGAATAAGGTAAGGACATTCTTCGAATTTAAAATGGGATGATATAGTTACTAAAATAATGTTCTTTACCTTATATTAAAAAAATAACCGTGCCAATCTATACTAACATTATAAAGCTATAAAGTTTGTTTGTTAGAACGAACGAATCTCAGGAACTACGAGTTTGAATTGTTTTTTTTGTGCTATTTGGAGAATTTATCGAGGAAGGCTAAAACATATAAACATCACGCTGCGACCAAGAAGAACGAAGAAATAATGGAAATATTATATATAGCGTCTCTACAAATAAAGATAGCACTTGATTAAAAAATAACGCCGTTAGATCACTACAGATTAATTAGCATTTAAGGTACGTGTACATAACCATACTGACATTAATAATAAAATTATGGCTCCTTCGTCTCTGCTTACAAATAACACATTCAATAGAATAACGGAAAGCGGCGATCAATTATTGCTGGCGTCAAAACTTTCGAAATAACGACAAGTATATTGACAAATTACACTGTGTTATATTACTTTTTCCAAATTGCGAGTTAACGATAGTTTTGTAATAAAATGTTACACCTAAATCGGGCAGTACCGGTGAAGCACGTGGGGAAAAACTATTAGAGAACACGTATTGATTGATATTAAGAACTTTATTAAATTAAAAATCTATTTATACAAACACGGTAGCTGGTTCGAGCAGCAGCTCGGAACGTTGCCGGTTCAACTACCGCCCATGTCGTCAATCTAGACTAATATCATAAATGCTAAAGTAACTCTGTCTGTCTGTCCGGCTTTAAAGCCGAATATACAGAACCGATTTAAAGGAAATTTGGCCCACAGATATTCTAGAGCCTAAGAAAGGGCATAGGCTACTTTTTAATGCCAAAAAAGGGTTGTCTAGGGGCTCAAAAGGGTGATGTTTGTTTGGAAATTTGTGATTTTTGAAGCTAGAACAATGAAACTTTCGTCTTCGGCTAAAAAGCCAATTCGCAAAAGCGAATGGGAGTGAGAGTGGGAGTTAGTGCAGGCGTGAGAGTGGGAGTCGGATTTAGAGTAGGTTTGATGGGAGGTGAGGATGGGAGAGTTGTAGCAAAGTAGCACTTGCCACACAGATTGGCTGCCTTGAATGCGCCCTTTTAGAACAAATAAACAACCTAAATAATTAAAAATTCTATTCCAAAATTACTATTCTACGCGGACGAAGTTGCGGGCACAGCTAGTGGGCAATAAACATGTAAAATATTAAAGTTATCTGATAACTTTATTGTTCGTATTCTTCCGACGTATCTTCTAACTTTATTTATTTATCAGTTACAATGTTTAAATAGATTTTTAACCTTCTTAAGTTTAAGTTGATTTATTTTTAACGTTGCAAATACAATAAAATATCAATAATGATGTTTCTCGTGAAAGCACAAAATATTATATCACATAATTATAATAACTTGGTTTGCTAAATCAAAGGCGCGTTTAATTTATATCGAGGTAATATAATGGACAAAGCAGTAAATTAAATATTGTCATGATGTACCACAGAATTGTTTATGAAAATTTTCAAAGCGATATTAAATTACTGCCATCATAACGTTTTCGATGAATAAAGCAATGTACCAATACTAAGAGCTAACGCAGACTTTATTTAATATAATCTGTGGTTGAATAATCTATCAATAATTCAACTGATACTTAATCTATGACAAAACAGCGTATGCAAAATAACTGGGCCCAGACACTGTCCTCTTGGTAGCCTGGCTTGAATTACCATCGATCAATAAAGAAGTGTTACTAACCGCAAGGGTTCATACATTTCGCGACACTCTCATTGGTTAAATGCAGGCAATTGACATTCAGTTGAATGCCATTAGGTGTGTCTAAAATTTAACTAATTCTAATATTACAAGCTGTTTTTTTTTAAAGCGTAAATCTCAGGAACTACTGGTTCGATTTGGAAGGTATATCTGTCTATCCTTTAAGATTCACGACTGCAAGAATGACGGGACGTAAACGACGTCGTGGGTAAGCTATATTTGATAAAGATGAGGCTTGCAAAAACAATTGTCACTAATAAAAAAGTATTCTTCTAAAATTTTTAAAGCACAAATATACTTATGTCATAGTTTCGATCCAATAATATCATAAGTTCTTCCAGCTCTTACGCCTATTCAGTTGAATCAGAATATCAGATTATGTAGACTAATACATAGCTGTCCGCTCGTATGTCACGGAGTATTGTTACATAATATTACCTCGAAATAAGCAAGTTCAACATTAATGCTCAGCGTTGTGTTACCTTTATAGATGATCCTGTTCTTTTTTCCAAGTATAATATCGGATACATGAAATGAAATGTTATTTTAATGAAACAGCATATTAGGAAGAATAAGAAATTTGCTGCTTTGTTGCTGTAGTGGTTAATGTACTCGACACCATCACGAGGTCCCCGGTTACACATCCAGGCTGGCGAAGAGTTAGTTCGGAAATTTCTAGAATTAGTCCGGAGTTTGAAAGTAAACGGCGACGTAAGTCTTGCGCATTAAATAGCTCGTTCAAGCTGTGACACATGGAAACTTTGAAACTGGCTT